TTATCGATTTATTTGTATTTTTAAAAGATAATAAGTGGATAATAAGACAATTTAAAAATATTTCTATTTTTATTCGAAAGTTCTTCAAATATAAAATTTTTCGAAAGAAAATTTTTTAAAAAAAAAAATTCAAATAAAACGTAATATGATAAAAGTAATAATATATAAGAAATTGAAAATTATTCAAGAAAAAAAGTCGTAAAGAATGTTAATTCGCGCAAAAAATGGACCATTTTGACATGAAAGCCTATAGAACGCGGTATAGCAAAATGCTTAGTAGCTTTATATTCTCATACTGCAGTGGTTTGCGCGATCTCCTTCATTATAGTACGAATATAAACCATCAGATGATGGATGCTGGCACCTTTATTTTCTTTTTCTTATCATTAATTATTATTATTTAATATTTTACCTGTTGTTATTAATGCAAATATGTGACGTTTGTCGCCCTGCTTTTAATAAACCAAAAAATATTTCTAATTAATTCCAAGTAACACTTTGGCTAAAAATTTTCTAATATTTTAAGCTAATAATCAGTGGAACCAGCCGAACGAGAAATGATTAGTGCTAACCACTTGCTTATCATATATATTTATCAAAGATTTTATCGTTACCTTATCATACATTCATGATTATTTGAAATAAATTTCGGTTAGTAATCATTCGTTCTAACAAATACATAACTATAAATTTAATTCATAGAATAAAAATGACTGCTAATTGCTAAAAGATTGCTAATCTATAATAGAATTCCATAAGTTATTTTTTCAGATTTAAAAAATTTATAATTATTTTGAGGTAAAAAAAATTTTTTTATGAGGCAAAAATAATAATTAACTTTGAATTCATGAAAAATTATAATTTTAAATTTTTAAATTATTAAGAAATTATTAAGAAACAATTTTATTATTTTTATTATTTATTAGTTATTATTATTTAATTATTTATTATTTAATTTTATTATTTATTATTTTATTAAATCATTAAGAAATTTTGCATAAAAGTTGTTTTTATACAAATAAAATTTATCTTTATTTATATTATTATTAATTAATAATTGTTAACAATTAATAATTATCAGTTTTAAAAAAAATTAGGACAAATCTGATTTATATATTCTATTCTATTTATCATAGTTCGATAGATAGTTTTTTCTTTGGCAATAATGCCATTAGAGCTTTGCTTATCTTTGCCTAAGGGCTCATTCAAATATCAAAGTTTAGTCGATGCTGTCAAATTTATCAATCAAACTTATTTACTAAAAATAATACGAAATAAAGAAATTTGGAGAGTTTAAGATTTATTCTAATGGGCTGCATGTGAATTTGCTTCAAAAAATTGCAAATTTCATCATAAAAAATAATATTATTTATTACTATTTTTTAAATTTTTTAAAATTTTTTTTTCACTGTAAAACTATAGGATTGTTGAGTTGTTGTGTCAGAGAGCACTGCTAAGAAATATAATTTCGAGCGTCAAATTTATAAATTTTATTATAAAAATAATATTATTTATTATTATTTTTTAAATAATTTTTTAAAATTCTATTCTACTCCTATAACTCTTATATTTTTATCACCAAATAGCAACTAATAGCTCATAATTTTATAAAAAATTACCAGTGAAAATTTGATTTACTAAGATCGATTTACTTGTTTTTATTACATAAAATTTATGATACCGGATTTTTTCCATAAATTATAGCAAGAAAATCCTATGACTTAATATTTTATGAAAATCACATTCCACATTATTCCAATTCATTATTTCATAATAGCGATAGATTTCGCCAAACCTTTTAGTATTCGATTGGCGATTTGCTACCATAAAGTTCAATAAAGATTTGGTTTTTCATCTTTTTATGCTTCAATGATTATAAATGATTTGTGCTTAGAAAAAAAAAAATATTTTTACTTGATTTATTTGCTCATTTATTATGCATTCAATGAATTTCAAAAATATGTTAAAAAATAAATTTAAATTTCTTAGTTTTTTTTTTAAAAAATACGAAAAAAATATGAAAAATTATTTTATTGAATAAATCTTTCGTTGAAAAAAAAAAGATTTAATCGTGTTTAATCGTGTTTGAATTGTCCATATTTTATGAATGAATCGCCAGCAAATGAAAAAGATAGTTTTTTCATTTTCATAAAAAAGATAATTTTTTTTTCAGTCAGTAAAATTAGATGAATGCTCAATCTTAAATTTTTTTACCAATGAAACGCTTGTTTTTCTTGCTTTATGGGTTTAGGCTTTCGTAATATTCCCTAATTTTCATAAGAATGAGGCCAAACTAAAACTAATTTTATTCTAATGGAAAGAAGCCGCTCGATTTTTCATCGTCTAATATCATCATATATGATTTTTCATCGTCTAATATCATATATGATTGCAAAATCTCTGGATTTTAATTGGTTCTTTTATCTCGTCTGAGCTTAACATGGATATACGTGGAAACGTGGTGAATGTGATTTCTATTTAAGAAAAGCAACATGGATTTTCGTCCACTTACGAGAGTTGAATATCATTAAAGTATTTCTTTAAATATATATATATATATATATATATATAAGAAGCAACATAAACATGAAGTACAACTTAAGTTAGAAGTCATTTTTCATCCATATAAAAATTGAACAAACAACAATAATTCAATAATTGAAAATTTGCTATAAAGCGAAATCTCATTTCGAAGAGCTGAAATGCTGCGATTCTGTACTTCCAGTAAGAGTTAATCTTATATTTCGAAAAATCCAACTGAAATTGGCAGCTTAACCACATTTCTATTTTTTGATAAAATTTGATGAGCTTAAAAATTGATTGATTTGATTTGATAAACTGATTTGATTTGATAAGAAATGATGAAAATGTATGCTTTCAAAAAATAAAATTAAAAAAAATCGAAAGATTACAAATAGATTTAAAATTTCTGATTAAAGCATCAAAAAGCAAAATTGAATTTTTTAACTGAACTAGAAATATGAAAATTAGTGATTTTGAACATTTTTTAATTATTTCGATCTAAAAAGAAAATTATTTAGCGAAGAAATTTTTCCGATTATAAATCATTTTCTCTTCACGTAATAATATTTTTAATTATTAATATTTGTGGAAAGAATATTAATGAATAATTATTATAAATTATTTTAACGAATCAACAATCAACAATTTGATAGTAAAATATTATATGAAGCAAATATTATATTATTATTAATATATTTAATAATAATATTAATAATATTATTATTAATATTATTAATATTATTATAATATTATTATTAATATTATTATATTATTATTATTAAGAAATAAAAAAATTTTAATAAATAAATAATAATATTTTAATGAATTATAATTTTTTTTTTTTTTTTTGAGCGTCGAAATACGAGATTTTTTTTTTCTATAATAATTGCGAAAGAACAATTTATTCATTTAAGCTTTCGTGCTAAATTTCGTGAAAATGTGTCAGTTAAAAAACTCTTTTAATAAATTATTTAATGAAAGCATTTCTCTTTTTAATTTTACATCCATTCCATAATTTCAATTTTTACTGGTTGCAACAAGAACAGAGCGTTGTGAAGCAAAATATCTTTCCAGAAAGGAAGAATTGTAGATATTTCTCGATTTTCTCGACTGATATTCTTAAACTAAGTTGAAGTTGAAAAATTTGATATGATAAAATTTCAGATTGATAAATAAATTCTTTCTTTCAAGAGCCCTCATTGTTAATGGTTAGACTGACTTCCAGAGAGTCCTTTGGTGATGGGACTACAGGTGAGTCACAAATTTCGCCTGTGGACAAGTTTACTCCTACGAGAAGCGCAACTTCATCATCGGTGCTTCGAATTGATAATAAATAAAAACTGATAATAAGAACTGATAAATGATACCAGAATTTTAAACGAAAAATAATGCAATGCTTTAGGTTTTAATAATTAAATTTAACATTCTATATCCATTCTTAAATTCGTTTAATTAATCGAAAATTTTCAAAAATATTTTTTGCCCAAATATTTTTCTTCTAAGCAATAACGATTGTTTGCTATTAAATCTTTCAGCATTTTCATTTAAATAAAATTTCAATTAATTATGCAAAAATCAAAAAAAATGATGATAAATAATCAACTAATTATCTAAAAATTTAAAAAAAGAATAGCAAAAAATATTAAAATTTATTTAATTTGAAATAATGATAGAGACACTTATTTATTTTAGAGTGGTTTTCTAGCTTATTATATTTCATGATATAAATCAGAGGAAGTAAAATCGGCTAAAATACTCAATGCCACATATTTGTTCACCTCAGTTATTATTTGTGGTTTAAATAAATAGTAACTAAATTTAAATTTACTAGAAATTTTAAGATGATTAACTGATAAATTGTTGATAAATCTCGAACAATTGTAATTCTTATTAATTCACCGTTTACTCTAAAGAATACGATTTATTTATGATTGATGTATGCCATGGTGCACACCTATTTAAATTAAAATTCGAAAATAAAAAAATATTTAAAAAAAGATAAAAAAAATTTAGCAATTTTGAAATGCATGAAAAAGAACTTCGATAAATAAAATTCATTCTGTAAAAAGATTTTTTTAAACCCAAAAACCAAAATTTTTTTTAGCAAAATTTATCAATTTCAATCGTTTTTTGAAATTCTCAAATTTCTTCAAAAACTATAATAGAAAAAATTTTAAAAATTAAAAATTTATTTATTAAAATTTAAAAAAAAAATTTTTTTTTGAGAAATTAATTGAGAAATTTAGCCGATTTATATTTGTCGAAAAGCATTAGTGAAACGTTAAAATCGTTAAATCGCTAAAATCGTTTTTTCGCATAATTGAAAAAAAAATTAAATTATCTAGTAGCATGAAAAAAAAAAAATTATGCATTATTAATTATTGAGATAAGCATGAGACAATGCTAGAAGTTAGATTATCAGCTTGTATTTAGAAAACACGGTTGCCACTGACGACGTTCCAATATTACTATTTTGAATGGCTGAGAGCGTACGTGTTATTGTTAGATGTCGTCCATTGAATTCCAGAGAATCAGCCTTAAAATCTCAGGTGATACGATTTCTAAAATTTATATAAGCTATATTTTTATTATAATATTAATGTATTATAAGTTTAAAACTATTGTTTCAGATAAAAAATCTTTTAAGTGAACAAAATAGCATAGAAGCTATGCTATCATCTATGAAAAATAAAAATAAAGGAATCTCGTATATTTATCAAATTTTCACATAGAAGTAAACTTTTATTCCAAAAATCCGAGTGTTGCAGGCGAATCGCCTATATTTCTATCGTCATGGACCTCCCTGGCGTATCTGCCTAATGCGATAAGCCAGCGGAGCGAGTCTAATCAGTAATGGTGACGACTTAAAAAAAAAAAAAAGTCAAATTTTCGCATAAAGTTCTAATTTTGCTTACGTTTAACTAGATGATATTATGTTTTCAAAATCAGTGATAAATAATGGAATGGTTCAGTGGGTTATTATTCTCATTCCGATGCACTGATTTTGGAGTTCTAATCTTGGCAAGAAAGTTATTATTCAATTAAGTTATCTAATTCAAAAATTCGAATGATGCTAACTCATATTTCTAACGCCAAACGACTTAATGACAAAAATTACTTTAGTCTGACTAAAAGCTTAGCAAAACGGAGCCTAGCCAGGAATAGTGAGCACTTTTAAAAAAAAAATGGTAATAATGATTGTGTGCGTTGATATATTGATTTTCCTCGTTAGGTTGGTTCCACTCACTGAAGATATTTTATATTTCCCTTTAATGTGGTCTCATTGGAGAGAAAGAGAAGTTGAAGTGAGTACCACTCAAACTCTATTAGTTTCTATTTGAAAAAGCGTTAATGCTTGAAGCGATAATCTAACCAAATTGCAATTAAAGAAATTAAATAAAATAAAATATTAGAAAATAAGAGAATTCTATCTAATTCTATTATTTTTTATCACATTTAATGAAATTACTTGATTTTCTCAATTTATTGGTTCATTAATTCGGTTGCTTGTGTTAAATTTAGTTTCAAATATATATGATCAATTTCAGATATGTGTGACAATGGATGAAAGTTGTGGTCGAGTGACACTAAGTACCACAAATAAAGGAGCATTACCAAAGGAATTCACATTCGATGGCGTTTATTACATGGATGCGTCGACTGAACAAATTTATAACGATATTGTCTATACTTTAGTTGAGGTTATTTATAAATATTTATAAATTTTAATTAATAAATTATTGATCATGAAGTTATTTTAATTAATTATTTTAATTAAAAATGTAATAAAAAAATATAAAATTTTCAGCATAAAGAAATTGACAATTAACAATTAAAACTCTAATTTTCTATAATTGCTTTTCTTGAAATATTTTTAATAGTCGGGAGAAAAGCAAAGGAGAATAAAATGGCTCAGTGAGTTGTTATATAATTCGAAGCGCAGATGCTTAGGTTCTATTCCCAGCACGAATAAGCCTGTCCAAAAATCCGGGTGAGTTTTCATATATATCTATCGTCAAAAGATTCCCTGGTATATTCCTCTAGTATTATAAGCCAGCGGAGCGGAATTGAAATCTTTGGATTTGGAATTTGGATAACCTTAGGAAGCATCTACCTGGATTTGAGAAGTTCCACGAAAGAATACAATTTAAAAAAGAAAACTTCTGAACTGTCGATCATTTCTTTTTCTTAAAATTGTTAATATAAAGAAATAATCGAAAACTGGCAATAATCGAAGCTTCTCAATCGTTCATTTGCTTCAAGCTCAGTTGGCTCAAGATGAAACTTGGAAATTCAAAACGTTAAACAAAAAATAAATATGCATGAAAATCTTTAATAAATTTATATCCTATAACTAATGATAAAATATTAAACTTTCATAGACCAATTGTTAGCGATTAAACACTGACATATTCTGGTTCGCTTTATCAGCTATTAGGATCATAGATCATAAATTATTTCTGCTAAAAAATTAGAATTAAGGGAGAAAGTTTTCCAAGCACTATCCAGGTTTTTTTTTTTAATAGGTCAGTTTTTTTACCATGGCTGAATATGTCAGTGTTTACCATGGCTGAAATAAATGACAATCGAAGCAAGATACCAATTGGAAATATGGTTTGGTTTTCATTAGATAATAAAAAAATAGAAAATAGTGAGCACTTAATGAAAAATCCACACTGGTAGCCGTATATTTATCGTTCATTAGACGAGAACTTTATACGGATCTTGGCACAAACCATAGTTTAGTAAATAAATATGGCCAGTACCAGTACTATGGTTCAATATACACTATAATATTATGCTATTGGATTCTTTCGCGCAACGATTTATCAGAATATCAAAATGAATATGGATCAATGTGTGTGCCTTGATTATTCAAAGGGTTTAGTATTGCATCCCTTCTGCGTTTTGCTCTCATCAAAACCTCTTGCTGGAACCAAAAAATTGGGGCCATTCTTTGGCACTGGCTACGATAAATAAATTCCAATCTTCCTCTTAACTATAGTTTTGCTAGAAATAAACTGTTAGTGAGTGAATCAAGATAGCGTAGGAGTCCAGATCATAGATTTTTTACGCAGTATTTCATTGCCTTCGACTATAGAACTATGATTTTCATGGGAACCAGGGAACCATGCAAGGATAGGATTTTAATTATTTCTCTTTTTCGAAAAAATATGAATTTCGTGGAGTAAAGTCAAAGTTTTGAATGAAGAGATATATACAATGGAGAATTATCCATAAATGAGCAATTTCACTTCGATTCAAGGCATCCAAATCACCGCAGTGGTGTAAAACTTAGCCAATACCTTAGCTCTCACAGATGTACCACAATTGATGGAAAACCAAAACAAGGTGAATTTTTGCAAAAATGATATGAATGTGATATTTGAAAAGAATTTTTGCCGTGAACCATGGCTCTCAAGCGTTCAAATATTGCGTATTGTACCAAGGTCTAAAGTCTCGCTACCTGCCTCTATATCTTTCTAACCTAGAATAATTACATTGCCTTCAACGATTCCATTATAAGCTTTACATTTTTTTGCGTATATTGGATAATATATGGATTTAATATTCAGATAACTCTTTCAGCATAAATCAGGAATTAAGTCGTAATTAAAAAAAAAAAAAACAGCTGAACAAAATCAGAAGTATAATAATAGTTGAGATTTATTAACAACATAGTAACAAATACTATTTATTTATTGAAGAGCGTTATCGAAGGTTACAATGGAACTGTATTCGCATATGGGCAAACTGGTTCTGGCAAAACGTTTACTATGCAAGGTGATGACAATATTATTTCACAAAAAGGCATCATATTGCGAGTTTTTGAACATATTTTCGAAGCTATTTCAACGACGGACAACACTAAATTTCTTGTTCATGTTTCTTATTTAGAGGTAAAATTAAATAATGATAAAATAACAATAATTAATATTTAATAATAAATATTAATAATTAATATTTGTTTATATAATAATATAAATAACAATAATTAACAATAAAAATGATAAAAATGATTAATCTTGATTGTAATGATAATAGTAACAGTAACGATAACAATGAAAATTGATAATAATAATAATGATATCAATAGTAATAATAATGATAATAAAAGTCATAGTAATGATAGTAATAGAGTACTAATAATAATATATTTACGATTTTTTATGATAATTTGTAAATTTGTTAACATTTGTTTTTTTGCGAATTATTATGTTTTGGTATTAATTTTTTATAGAATTTAAAATTAATTTAAAATATTTATTTTTTCTATTTTTTATAAGATTTTTTAGATTTATAATGAAGAGATTCGTGATCTTCTTGGATTGGAAAAAGGTATAAAGCTTGAAATCAAAGAGCATCCAGAACGAGGTATTTATGTTGCTGGTCTATCGATGCATGTATGCCATGATTTTCAAGCATGTCAAAGTTTGATGAATAAAGGTTTCGAAAATCGTCATGTAAGTCTCGAAAATATTATTTTGAAAAGATTATTTCCCTTTCCTATAGAGCAACGATTCTCAAAGTATAATCTTAGAATCTCTGGAGACTCCCAAGATTTCTTCCTAGAGTTCTCGAGACTGAAGCCATACTATATTTATTATGAAAAATCCCTAAGTATTTTCGATTTTTTTTAAAGTAATGGGCCTAAACATCGAATGATTGTTCACGTTTCTTAAGCTAAGATCGAATGATCATGAATTCGATTCCTCTTCCTTATAACAATACATTTATTTAAAAAAAGAAATCCAGATGATGGAGAAGTATTAGTGCTTCGATTTGCCTGGCTAAGGAATTAATAACTGAGAAAATTTGTTGCCAGTGATGAAATTTTAGATTTCAAAACTTAGAATTTTGACTTAGAATTTTGAAAAATCTTTTACTTAAGCAATTTCTTAGTAAATTAAACATTAACATCAACATTGATAAATTTGTAAAACTGCAATTGGCCTAGTTTCGGATTAGCATCAAAGAATGAATAATAAGGCTGCTACAATTAGGCTCCTCTATTTTTCACCAACATCCCAATTATAAGCCAGAATTCCTTTTATGCGTTTCAAACAAAATTGCAAAAAAGATGATAAAATGTCGAAAGAGATATGAGAATTCAATTGTTAAGATGAATTAAGCAATTCTATCCTTTGCTGCAACAATTCTTTGGCTTGGCTTATGATTCTCATGGTTTTAATGGTGTTGGACACAAATTTTTATTTTTAGGTTGGAAGCACATTGATGAATAAAGATTCATCTCGTTCACATTCAATATTCACAATTTATGTTGAAGCAATGTTGAAGAATGGAACTATAAGAACTGGAAAAATTAATCTTGTTGATTTAGCTGGAAGTGAAAGGCAATCAAAAACAGGTATAACTATTTATGTAACAATAAATATTTTCGAAAAAATCAACGTTTAACTGGTACTTAGGCAGTATTCGCCAATTCTATCCGATTCTTTTGAATCCTAATATTAATCGAGCTAAATTCAATTTAAAAAATATTTTAAATATTAGATAAAAATTTTAAAGTTATTTTTTTCATATGAACAAAAATTGAAAAAATAAAATAAATAATAAAAGAATAGCAAAAATAAATAATAAATAATAATAAATAATAAAAAAAATTAGATAATAAATTAGATAATGATAATAATAAATAAGATAACAAAAAAATTTGTGAAAAATTTAAGGTGCAACAGGTGAACGTTTCAAAGAAGCCACAAAAATTAATTTATCATTATCAGCGCTTGGTAATGTGATATCAGCATTAGTCGACGGAAAATCTAAACATATTCCTTATAGGGATTCTAAGCTTACGAGATTATTACAGGTATGTTTAAGCAGGTGGGCCATGATTGTCTTTGTCTTATTTCCATTAGATATTCTTTTCTAGAATTTTTTAGAATTGCTTTTGGAAAGGATTAATGCAATACTGTGATAGTGGCAGATAAATTATAATGTTCAGCTGTTGTATAAAAATCGAATTGTATTCGTATTCGATTATTTAGGATTCGCTTGGTGGTAATATGAAAACAATTATGGTTGCATGTATTTCACCATCGGATAATAATTATGACGAAACACTATCAACTTTGCGGTTTATACTTTAATATTTGAATATTATTTTGAATCACTTATTAAGCATACCGATACGAGTTTGCACCAAACTGATAAAAATTGATAATTGATAATTATCATAGTTTTAGTGAAATTATTGATCTCAAAATGCCATCGTCATAAAACTACTAAATAATAATAATTAAAAGCTAAAATTTTGAAATAAAATTTATAATTTAATATAATTTTTTTGTATATTTATAAATTGAAGATATGCGAATCGAGCTAAGAATATAAAAAATAAACCGAAAATCAACGAAGATCCAAAAGATGCTTTACTTCGAGAGTACCAAGAAGAAATCGAACGGTTGAAAGCTATGATTAACTCTAGTATTAACTCTACTTACTCTCTTCTTCTTCTTCTAATCGAGCTCACCATTAACTATTATTATTAGCCGGAGAGTTATGGGGAAATAATACAGGTAGATCTCCAATATCATTAGGAAAATCTGGTTATTCTATTCTTCAATTCAATAGCATTTTTAAAAATTAATAAAAATATCATAAAATTATTATTAGTAAAGGTGATCACCCTTGATTATAATCGTGATTAGAAACCTAAAATTTCTGGAAATCGGTAAAATGAATAAATGTATCAATTAAGAAAGTCGAAAAAATTTTTAAGATACTACTCTTGAGCAATTCGACCAAAGAAAAGAACATGATCATCTCAAAACTCAATATGAAATAGCTATAAATGAATTGCGTTCAAAATACCATATGGAACAACAGAGTAAAGCGAAACTTCAAGAAGAATTTTTATTACTAAAAGAACAATACGAGAATTCATTGGAAGCAATAGATCGAGAGAAACCGATTGATGCAATTGAAGCACAAAAAAGACTTGAAAGGCTCGAGCAACAATTCGTCGGCGGTGAGCAGGTGAATAAAGCATATTGAGCAAATTTCATGGCTCATAAATAATCAGTCAAATAGCCTTGAGTGAAAACAAAAAAAAAAAATTCCATTTCAGACGAGCAACTTGGCCTTAAAAGAAAAGAGACTTCTAAAAAAAGAAGAAGCAGAAAAGAAAATGCAAAAATTGGCCGGTAAAAAAATTTTTTCATAAAATTCAAGAGAAATAAAATCCATGTTTTTTTTTCAAAAATAGGGAATAGATTAAGAAAATGCTTATCAATTAATCCCACGTCTAAAATTGATATGAGGATGAGGACAATGTGGTTTTAATAAGAAATTTTGTCGCTTATCACTTTTAAATGATAACGCAAATGATAATTGCTAGAAATGACTAATATAAATGATTTTGAAAGCACAAAAAAAAATTTACTTCAGCTTCTGAAGCAATTAAAATTAGTCGAATACTTATATCTTTTAATATTTTTTCTAAATTTTAATAAAAAATTAACTCATTCTTATCATAGGAAATAAATCAAAAGCAAACTATTTGCATTAAAACTATACAAAACAGTACAAAAAATAAACCCTTAGTGAACTCGATAATATAAAATCGGATTTAAAAATAAAATTGATAAGATAATGGAAAAAATTTATCATTTTCCTAAGTTTTCATAAATTTTTTCACTGGTTATTTCACAATCAAAGGCCAAAATAATAGCGTCTATTCCAACGCCTTGGCCTGTACCATTGAGCCATCTGTTCGTTCAAAATCTTCCCTGGCTGTATCAATCTTGTTCAGTTGGACTCTCTATCCTACCCTCTCATTTTTATTAAATTTTGGACTAAATTTTTTAAGGTTAAGAAAAAAGGTTAAAGAGGTTATCGGAAAGTGGTGTTTTGAGTATAGAAGTTGAACCATTTGGATCCATAAACCAAATATTATGATGCTTAATTAAATTTTGGATAACTTAAAAAATGACTTATTCGATCTGCAGCTGCACTTAATGTTGATAGCGATGATCCATTACTTCATGTGTATAGTTCAACTCAAGAAAAACTGGAAGCAATTACGATTCAATACAATAAAGCAAAGCGACAGGTTTATTTCTAAATTTTAACGAAGCCTTTTAAAAGTGTGTAATGTGCAATATTTGGTTCTCGATTAATGGCCAAATGTTCCGTATTATAACTTCAAAAATTTTCCGAAAGATATCAGCCTTGGTACCACCTATCAATCTTCAGCCTGCATCTCTCTGGCTTGTATGACTCAAAGTCTTAAGACGAATTTTTTTCAGATATTTGTACTAGTTCAAAAAATTATGACTATAAAAATTGCGAAAAAATTAGTTTTTCTAAATATTAGATCAAATTACTCGATAGTGAAATCAAAGATCTGCATGGCGAATTTGAACTCGATAGGTTAGATTATCTAGAAACGATACGCAAACAGGATCAATTGATAAAGCTATTGCAACAAATTATCGATAAGGTTAGGTTTTAATAAATTGTTCAAATTAATTTTAGAAATTGCATCTGGGTTCTCCTTTTATCTATTCTTATCATTGGCTATTATTATTCTTATCAAACACTGATAGGCAAAAAATATAAAAAAAGAGGAAAGAAAGCTTTCTATTTGCTCCAAAATCTATCAAATTTTTTGAATATCTCTGCTTAAAATATGTCTAATCTCTAATAAATAGCACTTTTTCAAATTTTAAATTTAATTATTCTCTTCTATGTGATCGAAAATTAAAGTGCCTTACTATAATCCATTAATATCCTTTTATATCCTATATAACCTATTTTCTTAAAAAATACCCTCCATTAATGCTTAAACTCGCTACTCTGGCTTATCACTCTAAATAAATATGACACGAAGTCGATTGGCGAAGACAAATGTAAGTCTGCCGCCAGCATAACCCACCGGCAACCTGTAATTATCATATCAATTAATTTCTAATTATTATAGAGAGGAGATAAGCGAAAATTAATCGATTTCTTTTAAGATTCATCCATTATTAAGAAAGGAAATGAATTATTATAATTTGGAAAAAATAAAAAAAGATGCAAAATGGGACGAGGATCAAGGCAAATGGATACTTCCAGATTTAACCATATTAAAATCTATTACTTTGCCGAATGCTAAAATAGGTAAATTTTAAAAATTCTCAAGAAATTACAATTATAATTTCTATCTTTTTTTTTTTCTAAATTGAATTTTAATAATTTTACAGTAACGACAACTGAACAAATTGAACCATATTGCGTTTCCAACGAATTCAATACATCAAAATTAAAAATGGTATATTTTATAATGGTATATAATTTTTTTTGCAACTAATTAAAAAATTATATTAATAATTTAATTATAATAATTAATTTTTTTATTAATATAATTTTATTAATATAATTTTAAAATTATATTAATAATCTAATTATAATAATTAATAATTTTTGCAACTAATTAAAAAATTATATTAATAATTTAATTAATAATTAAATAATAAAAATTTTATAAAAAATTAATTTTTCGAAAAGAAAATAAAAAAAAAGCAAATCATAAAATTATAATTTTTTTTTTAGAGATTAGAGAAAAGCGAAGAAGAAAATATCGCGAATAATTATTTTAAGCAATTCAATCGTAATGAATTCATTAATAAATATAAAGCAGATCGAAGCAAAGATCTTGGTGAATTTTAATTTAATTTAATTTTGTTTTTTTTTTTTAGCTAATTTAAGGGAAATGAAGAGAATAGCGCAATGCAGAAGTTTTCTAATGAAGAGAAACTGCAATCTTTAAAAATTTCTGCTACTATCGACGCTCAATTCTATTGTAAATTTACACCGGCAAAATTTATCTTATGCGATAAGTTAGTGGAGTAGTAAGGTGAACGAGGAATGGTGGTGAAATGCTCTTGAAAATAGAAAAAAATTTTCGCAAAAATTTTTATGGAAAATTTAGTAAAGAAGAATTTTCATAGAAAAATGGAAAGACCTTATTATTATAAGAACTTTTTAAAATTGAATTTTTTCATTTTTTTTGTTCCATTTTTTTTTTTAGTATTGCTCGGCATTTATTATTTATTATTAATTATTATTTATTATTACTAATATTACTAATTCAATAATAATGAATATCATTTGAATAGAGGCACAAAAAACGATACCACGAAAACATTTGAAAGACTTATTAGATGGTGTGATTTATACAGACGATATTTATGGAAAATCGGATGTGGAAACACGAAAACCACAGAAACTCGAATTGCTACCTATAAGGCAAAGTTATACATGAAATATTTTTTCTTTCTGTTTTCTCTATGATGTACTAAGTTTCGTGCAAATAGAAATTTTACTAGATTTATTTTAAAGTTCCACAAATTTCTTTTTTTCTTGTCCTTTTCTTTAGTATCGCTATTCTACGAATTTATTTTATCTTTTGTGGTACCAATAAAGAAGTGAACATTTTTTTAACTCTATAGATTAAATTATTTAAATATAACGAGAATTAAATAGATTATCATTTTGTGAATTAGCTTAAGACTGGCTTTTGCAAAATTTAAAATTCGTTGTTGCGTTGTATTTTTAGTGAAAATAAAATTCAGATATTAAACGATGACAATGATTACTGATAATTTAATTGATTGCTTATTAAAATGCATTGATAAACAAGATGAATTTAATAGGCAATATTAATAATTAAGATCGATAACTTTTAAAATTTCTGATAATTTTTCTAAAATATATTACTTTTTAAATAAATTTTTTAAAAAAATACAATTATTACAAATATTATTATTAAATATTAGAAACAAATTTAGAATTATTATAAATATTATAAATATTGTTACTTCGATTAATAATCATTTTCATTATTAACACTATCATTATTATTAATATATCATTATTATATCATTATCATTATTAAAAATTATTATTAATATTATTAAATCATTTTCAGACTATATTTCATCATAATAGAAAACATTTACAATAATATGATATAAGATTTTTTTTATTGATTTTTATTAATTTTTTTATTTATTTTAATTTTACTTATATTAAGTTATAAATGTATTGAAAATTTCATTATTATTAATCAATTAATTATTATTAATTTTTATTCCTTCCATCCAAATTTCGGATTTTTAAGAAAAACAATAATTAGATAAAAAATAAAAACGAATGGTAATAATCAATTATCAAAAATCTGAGTCTTATTGATGAATTTTAAATTATGCAGCAAAAATATAATACAAGAAAAAAGAAAATATTCGCAAATTGTCGTCTCGATTATATAAGTGTAAGTGTTTCACAAATTCATAACTAATTAAAACTGTTTTGACCTATCTCCTCTTACCCTTCCGTTATGGTACTATTTTATTACTCAACTCCATTCCAGTGTTGATTCTCAGGTAACTATCCAAACATTCTAAAAATTGTAAACGATTTAAGAAGACTCGTAGAAGGTTTTGAACTCATGAAAAAAATATGAGTTTTAGATTCACATCCAACTTTGGACAATAAGCATAACAAAAAAAATGAGTTATTTTAATTTTCTGCGTTCATAGGAGGTGGGAATAGAATGGCTTAGTGGGTTGTTACTCAATTGGGAGCGCCGATGCTGAGGTTCGATGCCCCGCGGGAATAAACCTATAAAAAAATCTGGGCAAATCTCATCTATATTTCTATCACCAAGGGACTCTGGCATATTTGTCCAATGCGACAAGCCAGCGAAGTGAATTTAATCAGTAATAGTGTGTTCATAGGAGAAAAGTCTTGGAACACGATTGCTCTCAGATGGCAAATGTCCCGATTCTCTTGAACTCTCTCGGCTTATAATGGATAATTATTTCGAATTTGCTGGATAGTTTATACACTCTTAAATAAACGGCCATATGGCCATCACAAATTCCATAATTTTCACCACATATTTTTTCAGCGAAAACCATAAATCCATAAATATTCTCGTTTTTCTCGAAGTAAAAGAAAGTTTTATAGTTTTAAGTAATAAAGTTTTTGGTGCAATCTTTCACAATATAATTCTTTTTAATGGTTAATATGAAAATGGAAAAAATTTTAAAAAAATGGAAGAAAAATTTTCGCGAAAAACGAACAATTTTAACTTAATTTTAACAAAAAATCTTGAAAAAAAATTTTAAGTAATTTTGAATATTTAATAATATAAATATTTAAGGGGTAAACACATTGTATTATTCTTGGTACTATTATATTTTGCTAGAAATAGTTTTATCATCCACTAACTGATGTATAACTTATGAAACTCTTTTATAGTTGCATATTTGTGATAATCTGTGATATGTGATAATCATTTTGGTGATTTTGGCTAATAAATCTTTTCTGATAATATATTATCAATAGATCATTGTCGATGTTATAAGAGTTTATAGTGAACTGGTCTTGTAATGATCCATGTGCTAAGTGTGAATTATGGAATTTTATATTTTATAGCCAAGGGTAGGGTTTAATTTTTAATTTAACTTTGAATAATTTATATTTTTATAAAAATAAAAATAAATAGCGAATATTCATAAGCTCTCCTTAATTCTCCTTCTATTTTATTAATATTTGATTTAAAAAATTTTAGAATTTAATTTCAAAAGAAGAGAAAATTACAATAGAAGAAAAAACCAATATTTAAGTGCAGTTGGTAAAAATTTTTAGCAAATACGATAATCAAAATGTCTTTATATATAGTTTGTGGTTTCGTTCAAATAGCCTCGCTCCTGTGGACCCATATAATCTACAAAATATGAAACTGCGAATGTCGAAACTACTCCGCAGAAAACTCCTGAAATTCAAGAAATTTTTTGATGCAATTGTATTAAAGTAAGAGGCTTTTGCTAGAGATTTATTTAGACCTGCTGTCTTTTTACCTATTAATAACATTAAACCCATTTCCGTTCTTAACACTTCCTCTTCCAAAACTTAGTTCTATTAAAACTACTTTTGATTTAGTTTCCTAATGCTTCGTCGTATTTTGCATTTGCTCTGGCTTCAGTTACAAATTATAATGTTGCAAAAGATAAAAACAGGATCGAAGGAAAGAGAAAAGAGAAAAAGATAGAAGAAACTGGAACTGATAGCTGATTGCTGATGAATATAAAGTGTGGAAATTGGAATAATATAATAGAATGTGCAGTTTTAAGGAAATATTACAAAGCATGCCAAGATATGGAAAAAAGCCTATTGTCCGGGCTAATTTTTTATTGTGTTTGTCTTGGCTAATCAAAAAAAATGATAAATTTTTCGTATCTGAATGAAATAATTTGGCGTAACATACCAAATACGAGGAAGAATGCCGACATCATCCCAGCGATAGACGCTTTCGATTTTTCTACCAGTCTGAAAAAATTTGTTAATGCTTTATTATTATATATTATTATTAAAAAATATAAAATTATAGGTAATCACCAAATTGGACGCGAATTGAAAAACTAAAATCACTCTTAAAGAAGAAGATTAGATTAGATTACCTTGGTGCATACATCATCGCCAAAGAACTGAAATAACCGCAAGTAAATGACATGACAAGCCCTAACACAAAATAGATATATTCATTGGTAATAAGCACTGGCCAAGTTCGGAGATTTGGACGATAATTGCAAAACATCATCGCAGGTACCAAGAGTAAACGTAGTACAACAGGTATCACCAAATATCTTGGGCTAGGCTAAAATTTTGCATTTCCCTAAATTTGAAAACATATCAATTACAAATAACAGAACAATTAATGATCTGAGCAACTTCTAGGCAGAATTTATGAAAAAACTTACCCATTGTACAAAATTAGCAAAAGCTGAGCCAGTGCTGGCCAATACATTGAAAAGCAGGAATGTTGTGAGAGGTGTGAACAAGAATTCTGGAAAGAATAATTAATAAAATCGTAATTTAATTTTATTATTACCGAAAAACGAAAGCTGTTAAAGAGAAAGCTGTTAAATTTAGATTATCAAATCAGTTAATTATCAATTCCGTTCAATAATTTATGAACCATCACGCACTAATATATTTTTTCATTATCTTGAAGATATTAACATACCAGGAATGAAAAAATCATAAACGCCATCATTTCTCCAAAGTCGAATATCAGCCATTATTGCAGGAAAGATGATAAGTGTCACAAAAAATACAAGGAAAACATTAAAACATTGCATCCATATCTAAAAAATTATTACCCAATTTATGTTATGAAAAATTAATAAAAGATTTTAAGATATTATTAATATTTTATTAATATTTAATATATTTAATAATTTAATATATTAATATATTAATGTACTAATAATATTAATAATATATTATTAATATTAATATACTAATAATATTTTATTAATATTTAATATATATTTAATATATTAATATTTTTTTCTTTGTTTCCACTGAATGTTAAGGTAAAACTTCGTCCACTTCACTTTCGTACAATTTCCCAATGAGTAATGGTGCGAGTAATATTTCGCCAAAATTTCGATAAGAATGTGTAAAACTTTAATTCGCAACAAGTTAATTTAGTTCTTTTCGATTTTAATAAATAAGTTTATATGCTTTTTTTTAAAAAAAAAAAATTATAACCTTTTTCAAAACATCAAAATATATTTGCATTATATTCGGCTGATTTTTCGACGAATCATTTTTCAACGATTCTGTGTCTAATTTCGAAACATAATGATTATAAAATTGCTGAAAAACAATCGCTAAAATAGATAAAATTAATAAAAAAGGCTTAATTCAAATAGGCTGGCGCCTCGAGTGATACTGACGACTCATTTGTACTTCTATCGCCAAGAGACGCCCTGGCATATTGTTCAATACGACAAGAAAACAGGGCGAGTTTAGCCAATAATGGTGAAAACTCTTAAAAAAGCAAAAAAAATGTTCAAATGGGCATTTAAAAAATTGCATAATTATAAGTAGTTAAGAAATAAAATTTGATGATCCAAAATGGCAAGGGATAACAGTGGTGTTTAAGGGTTTAGGATAATTCAAGCATGTTTATGATAATAATTGTTAATAGGATGCACGGTATGGGGATAGGATGGCTCAGTGGATTGTTGCTCAACTTGAAGCGCTAAGATAGATAAAATTAATAGTTTGAGTGTTGAGGTTCGAATCTCCACAGGAATAAACCTGTACCAAAATCCGAATGATACTGGCAACTCACCTGTATTTCTATCACCAAAGGACTCTCTGGCATTATTGCTCAATGTGACAAGCCAATGGAGCGAATTTTACCAGTAATGGTGAGGTCTCTTAAAAAAAAAAGATGCATGTTCGGTAGAATACAATGGCTTTTGAGGGTTATAAGTTAATAGGTTTAGAATAACTTATTCTGAAGATAGCGAGAAAAGTAGTTATAATGATGCCATTAATGGTTTAAAAACAGAATAACACTCTAGGTGCAGAAAAGCATTCAGAGAAAAATTTCGTGGATGATATAGAGAATAGTTGAAAGAGATTGGAAAGAATTTCACAAGCTGTTACAGATTTTAGAGAGTACAAAAGAGTACTTTTGCACATATATACATATACACTGTAAAAAATTATCATAAAATTATCATAAAAATTATCATAAAAAATTATCATAGGTTATTATTACAGTTATTATCATGGTATTAAAACATTATCACAGTTATCATACGGCATTCATAAAATACTCACGAATTTCGGAAGCGTAATGAAGGATATGAAACAAGCAATAATGGTGAAAAGTGCAATATTAAAATATGCAACCGCTGCGCTTTGAATCGAATTTGAAACTGAAATATTTGAAAAATATTTAAATATTTATTTATTTAAAATTATTTAAAATATTTAAGGAAAAAATATGAAGAAAAAACTGAGATGGATTATATGTGCTATTTTTGAAAAATTTAAAATTTAATTTCAATTTTATTCTTAAAGTTTTAAATTTTAATTTGTAAATTTTATTAAAATTTCAATTTTATTATTTAATTAATCGAATAATATTTTTGCAGGTAAAACCTAAAATTATTTGCTGAATAAAATAAAAGCAAATTAGTAGGAGAATAATCAAAAAATATAACCAACCGACGAGTGTTATAATATTGACAATAGAAATAAACAATCCACAAACATTATTGCCGAGAACAATTGCGTTCGTGAAACGTGGCGGAAATGAAGCAACAATTCCATACAATGAATTCTGATACATTCCAGTCGCTGCATTCAACAAAACGACAGTGAATATTGTGATGAAGAAAAATGCCGCCACCACTAAAATGTTTTTGTAGTCTTTTAGCAAATATAATAAAGAGTTACTGGTCTAATTTCATAGTGCCCGTAGGAGTAAATTTGCCGTTCAAAAACCCTTGGGCAGTGTTGGTCAATCCACGGCACTTCTATCACTATTTTGACTCCCCTGGCAAAATTTATTTGCTCCAAAAAGCAAATCCAACCAAAAAAATGTGCGCACATAAAAAAACTTATAAAATAATTAAAAACAGACTTGACGACGTATCAATTAAGGCGAAAATTACAGTTATTAGGCATAATGTACCGATGACAATAAGTGAAACAATAATTCTTCGCTGAAGACCTCCTCTGTAAAGAAAATTTCGATAAGAGGAAAACGCTATTGCAATGTGCGGCAGCTTAGACTCGACTATGCTAATGGATTTGAGCTAAATAATTCCTTCATTGGCACCAAAATATATTGGAAAACAAATTTGTTCATAATGGAATACTTATTTAGCATATTTATTTCTACAAATATACATTAAATTAAATAAATTAAATAAATGAAATTAAACATTAAAAATATTAATTTAAAAAAAAAAAAAAAACCACTTTATTTGAACGAATATATTGAGAAAGCTTAGCAGAAGATTGGGTAACTGCGAACAAACTCCAATATAACTAAAGAAATTTAATGAATATTTCGTTTCGTGTTTCACTCCATCGCTATCGGTAATTAATAGTTTATAACCAACGAAGTACTATAATAAAGTTAATTTAAAAAATTTTATTTTAACGGCATTATATTTAATTTGCATTTATTATTTATAATTGATTAATTTATGATAAAATATTTTAAAAAGTCTGATAGGAAATTAAAAATTAAAAGGAAACAAACATACGGAAGGTGCGATAGTGATAAACGTATTCCATGGAATTAATATGCCGATTCCATGAAGCATTATAATTAGATAAACAATGTTATAATTGTCTTTTGGTTCCTTTTCTTTTTCCTTCAGCATTCCTTCTTTTTCTGAAATCATCGCTATTTTATTCGAATTTAAGTAATAACTTTGGGCATTGCCATATTCATCTTCTTTTTATGATAATACTGATAACAGCAATTACTTTGATTTGATTTTGACTTCAGTGAAAAAAATTGAAAAAAATTATTACACGAATGATTTCATCTTTAACAACTTTCATTCGATCACTTTGCTTTAATTAATTTCAACAAAAATCTATTAAAATAAACTTTTTAGCTTAAATAGATTATAAAAAAAATAATAAAACGAATGAAATTAATGAAAAATGAAAAATTTTTTGAAAAATAATTTGCAATCATTGAAAAATAAACTGAAATATTTTCAATTTAAATGAAATAAAAAAAAGAATTCTGACAATTCCGATTATTGAAAATGAAATTTGCTAAAGAAAACTGAAATTTTTTTTTCAATTAACAAATAAAAATAGCAAATAATAAAATTGGTTTTAACTTCTTTTTAACTTCTTTTTGGTTCCGCTAAATTTTCATTCTTATAACTTAGAACAATACTAATTAATTATACATTAATAAAAAAAAAAATTTTTTTTTTTTCTTTTTAAAGGAAAAATTATGATTCATTTCATGATGGCACATTAAAATGAAATAATTAAATTTGACAAAATTGCTAAATTAATAAATAGCCAAACTGGTTAAGCGATAATAGTAATTGGCAAACTTTTTTAGAGGAAAGTCTGTCAAATAGCAAAAAGAAATAAAATATAAATCTGAAAGAGTGAATAGAATGATTTTTTTCCGCTCACTTGGACCTCTCAGGATTTTTACCATTCTTTCCTCGAAAATTTTACATATTATTTTCGTAAAAATAAAAATTTAATAAAAAAAATGAAATTTTTAAATATTATTACTTAATACTTAATGCTTAAAATTTTTTTTTTTGAAGCATTAAAATATCACAAATATCACAAAAATTTTATTTTTATTAAAAATTTAATATAAATAAAAATTTTATTTAAGAAAAAATTTTATAATTCTACAAAAAAGCAAGTAGAACATTTATACTTGGCTTTGGATTAGCTTCACCAATCTCTAATGCTTCCAATGATCCCTCGAAGTTTATCGGTTATTTCCAAATTTTTATCAACCCCGAGAGTTTATGCTTGCAACGCTGAAAACCCTTATAATAAACGATAATATTGCTAAGCTAAATGGAAAATTTATTTTCTTCGAAAATTATAATCGAAAATTCGACATTTTAAATATTGTAATAATAAACAATGTTAGTGAAGAATACAAGAATTGCTGAGAAAATGAATTCCAACTCAAATCTATGAAAAATGCATTTGAAAAAATATTTAATGATTGAAACTTACTAAATTTTCTAGCAATTTTATAAAAAATATCTCAAAATTTTCAGTAATTCCAAATTCATAATGACAAAAATTTGATAAATAATTTTGCAATAATAATATAATTTTTTTTTCTTAGATTTACAACAAAATATTATAAATTTTTTATTCTAAATTTCTAAAAAAAAGCAATAATTTAAAAGAATTGATAAAATGATTAGATTAATGCTACCAATATATTTGATGAATTTTTTTCGCAATATTTTTTTTAATAGGCGGTAGCATTATCATTATCACTAAGCTATATATCCTGATTATATTGATAAATGTTTGTAAACCAGATTGGAATCTATAATGCTTAAATAAGACTAGAACCGTTTGCTCCAACTGGACTGCAATATTTCTCGAATCAATGAATATGCAGTTTCTCTATCACTACCCTTATTTCTAATTTCTGCAAGAATCTCTTGTGTCTTATTGCAATTCAAAAATCTGGAAATTGTCGCACATAGCCTGATTTCATGAATAGAGATAAGAATAATCTTTTTAATTATAGGCTTTTTAATTAGCGTACCCGGCGACAATAGTAGAAGTATATGCATATTTTGAGGCAAATCGTATTTCTTTTAAGTTTTCCTATAAAAAAATCCACTAGTATCGGACTAATCTTTATAAACATCAATTTTGACCTATTGATAATAGTTAAATTATTACAATGGTCTTTTTTTCTTTTTTAAAGAATCCTCACCATAACTGGTTAAACTCGCTCTACTGGCAATGAATAAATATGCCTAGGGGTTCCTTGGCGATAGAAGTACAGATGAATCTCCAGCATCACTCAGAATTTTGTACAGGTTTACTCTTGCAGGGAATTGAACCTCAATATCGGCGCTCCTAATTGAGCAACAACCCACTGAGCCATTCTATTATAATGTTATACTTAAATCTGGCTGAAGCGTTTGATTCAGTCTTGTATAAATCAATAGACCATCAACAACCTAGGAAATTTCGTTTAGCATAGATTTCTCACCTATAAAAATAACCATCTGTACTAAATTATGCCCACTGTTTTCTATTTTAATCTGGATTTTAGACAAAATATTGGTGCTTTATTATTTTTACTTAGTTTTATTATTTATTATTTTTTTACTTATTATTTTTTTTTATTGTATATTTTTTATTCACTAATATTTTCTTGTGCCAGTTATCTCGTTTAGTTGCATTTTACTCCAAATTTCGTTGGTGCTTTTTATAGTTAGCAAAAATTTAAGAAATTTATAGAAAATTTAATTTAAAGGAAACGCTTTAGTTCATTGACAGATTTTCAACAATTTGTTTTTAGATAAATCATTTTTATGGAATAAACTGGTTCATAGGAATTGGTCACAGAATTTCACACTTCACAATCATTTTCGTAGCATTTGCAGATAAGTTCACAGCTTTCAAAAAATCAACCAAAATGAATCAAAATTAAAAAGCAATAAAATAATAATAAAATAATCAAAAATAACAAAATTATTAAAAAATAATAAAAAATATTTATATATATATATATATATATAACTGAAAATTCATTCATCGCCAACATCGCCGTCGCAAAACAAAGCAGCAAAAATCATGAATAAACTGACCATAATCAAACATCGAGATCGGCTATCGAGGATCACTAAAGCACCAGATGATATAATTGAAGAAGCAAATAGAGTCCTCATAGCGTTTTCTACCATTATATACTGCCATTATAATAGAAATTAATGAACTGGTCGCTACAGCCATCTGAATTTTCGAAATGCTGGAACACAAAATCAAGAAGAATAACAATGCATGTCTTCCTTGGAAAAAAAGACTGGAAAATAAATACAGAACATTACACAGAGAAGTTAGCCAGTTGAAAGAATTGAAGAAAAGTATAAAGAATAGTGCCTGGTTGCTGCAAAAATACAAAAGCCATATTCTATTACAAGCCCTGCTAAATAAAGATTGACTGTACTCGTCACCACTAGACTAAGGAGATTTATTAGAGAAGTAGAGGTTAGAAAGATAAATATCCTATTCTCCAAGGAACCATCCAAGGTGCATTTTCTTCAATGCAATATGGCAATATGATAATATGGTTACAACAGAGACACCACTAGAAACTATCTGAGAACAAGTCGCAATAATCTCCCAAAAAATAAATCAGCTACCATCACAGTTGCTGATATCCAACAGCGACTCAAAAATATAAGTTGAGCAGCATATGGTCCTAATTCGCACACCTACTGGCTAAAGAAACGAACAGCAGCAGCAGTTCATGAGCATTAACCAGCTGCTTAGTTAACATAAGGAAGGGCGTACTGATCATGAAAGATCCTCATAAAGGAACAATACCATCTAATTATCATTATAAAAGATCCTCATAAAGGAACAATACCATCTATCGACTAATGATCTCCCTAACCAAAATGTGAAAAATCATCTCAGGCATAATAGTTGTCAAGCTTGACGATCATATAAACCAATAAGTGTAGTCCAAAAATGCATTGGGAACTCGAAAATAGCTTGCATATGTGGCTATCAAAGGATAGAATAGATCCATGGGTTGTTGCTCAATTCGGAGCGCCGATGCTGAGGTACTTCTCTCCGCAGGAGTTAAGCCTGCCGAAAAATCCGGGTGATGCTGGCTACTCACCTACATCTCCAAGGGAACAAAGGCGACACATTGTATTTCCTACTGTTGTGCATATCGTTTCAATCTTCTCAATTAGATAAATGGATATGGATACAACTTTAAGAGCATAACTACCATCAACCATCAGCCAACATCAAGTTATATGGAAAAAGTGAACGAAGCATTGACTAGCTATCCATCTAACACGAAGACATCAAAATTTTGAGGAGGTAAGGAAGACTGCGACATTTAATTATTATCAAAGAATAAGACAAATCTTGAAGAGATAACTCAATGAGAACAAAATCCGAGCCATAAATATAAATTTGTACGCCCCTGCCAGTAATCAGGTATGCAGCTGGCATTTAAGGCTTAACAAAAGAATACATTAAGGCTGCTAAAGATTGGGAATTCCTCACAATGAAATTTCAGTCCCAAGTCTAGCACCCAAAGATTGTGTATCAGCAGGAAAGAAGGCGAGTGGGTATTGGTGAATGTCAAAGTCCCATCAGTCTCCTTGGCCTCTGGTAGAGGATATGGGGTTAAAGATGATCATAATTGCCAACAGGAGAGTTAATGATAAAATGGTTTTTTTTAAATGATAATTATTAAACTTATGATGTATGAAATATATAAAAAATTTTTTATAGTTTAGATAGTTCAAAAAGCAAAATTTTAATAGTTTTAAATATAAATAAATTTGAAAAAAAAAAAGAAATCATCGAAGATAAAATGAGAGAATATTTGAAGAAATATTCGTTTCTTAATTTTGAAAAAAAAATTTGTTTATATTCAACTGTGAAAAATTTACTATTTGATAAAAACAATTTGAAAATAAATAAATAATAAGCAATGATAATAACAATGGTAATAGCGATGGTGATAACAATAGTGATAAAAGGATGCAGAAAAAAGAATTTTAAAAATTTTTTTAAATTATAAGTATAAAACAATAAATAATTTGTTAATGATGGGATAAACTTTTAAGATTTTAAAATTATTTATTTGTTCATTTTGAAAATAATAACCAATTTATAAACAATTGATGAAGAATTCTTAAAGATGAATAAATCTTTAATAAATTTAAATGGTTAAATCATTTCGCTTATTTCCAGTTCCATTTAAATGCTATTATGAAAACAATTTTTTAAATTAAAAATAAAATATTAAATATATTTTTTAAATTATAAAAAACAATATTTTTTGAAAATTTCATAGTGAATTTTTCATTCTTTTTTCTTTTTACACTTTTATTTATACCTAAAATTATTCAAAAATATTTGAAATATTTTAAATAAATTTGAATTTTCCATCGATTAATTTCATTAATATTTTATTTATTAACATTGTATTTTGATTTTTTGAAACAAAATTTTCGATTATTTTTTTTTAAGAATTTCATTTTTTTCGCAAAAAAATGTTTTCTCAGATTATTTCTCAGATTTTTCATTAGAGATTGAAAATTTAAAAGTTCTGGAAGAATATCTTAGTTTTTCCTAGTGCTATGTGCTTCTTAGAGAAGAAAGGAATCTCTAGTTATTGATAATTTTTTGTTGTCAATTTTATTTTATAGGCTTTATCATCTCTAATTTTGTAATATAAATTATTATCGTAATATTTATGGTTTTGCACTATTTGCATATAATTTCTTAATGTTTGTAGATAAAATTTGCATATGAATTTGTAGTATTTTGCAGTTGTCTTTATAAAATTTGCAATTTTCAGAAATAGATTAAAATTCCAGCAAACCTTTTTTTGGTAATCTTTTGTTATTTTTATTATTCGAAATAAAAAATCATAGATAAGTAAATAAACGATACAAGTAAAGGATCAACAAAGAATCAAATTCTAATTTATTTTATTTAGGCCTTTTTTTTCTTTTGGGCCAGAAAAACTCTTAAAAAATCTCGACTAATTTGATTGATAAATTAAATATTTATCAGTTAAATATTTATCCATATTTTTTCAAATAATATAACAATAATTTATCAAAATATACCTAAATGTTATAACAAAAATTACTTTTATAAATTTTTGATAACTATATAATGCCATTGAAGGACCATTAAAGCTTAAAAGGCAATTGCATGATAAGGCAAGATTATCAGCAAACATTGTGATAGCAGTCTATATGCATTCAAACTAGAATATGATCGATTTTTATTATTATTTATACCTTTTATTTATCCATATTTTATTTATTTCTTTTGTTAAATATTATTAAATAAATTATTAAATATAAAAGAAAACAAATTTCAAGTTTTAAAATTTCCAACGAATTTCCAAAGTATTTTATAAAAAAATAATTCGACAAAGTTTTCATTTTTTTTTTTATTATTGTTCCTTTCATTTCTTTCATTTTAAAAAAAAGGATTTTAGTTTTTCTTCAGTTCTCGTTGAAAAATGGCAAAAGTTGTAAAATTTATGATGGATCATTATTTTTCATATTTCATGAATTATTTTTCATTGTTCTTCCATGCGCGACCATTTTTTAAACCAGTTATAATCCATTTATTTCTTATTGGTGAATAGAATAGCGCAGTAGATTGTTGCTCAATTTCGAATTCGGAGATGCTGAGGTTGTTTTCCTCTCTGCAAAGGGTATATAGCACTATGAAATTTTCGTTGGAAGCATGGCGATTCTCCTTCCAAATCCACTGTGTTTTTTCTGTATAGATTTAATTAACTTTCCTGCCACGTGGGAAATTTTTGTTTCTTAATAATATTAGAAATTCTGCAGCCAGCGTTCTCTTCTTACTTTTCTCGTTGCGAACCCACAAACTTGGGTAATTAAACCTTTCTTAGTAAAGACGCAAATATATACAAGAAAATAAGGCAAAGCAATTGCCCTACTACAAAGAAATAATACAATAATACAGTAAAATAAGATGTAAATACCTATGGCTATCGCTCACAGACCGTTCCCCACTCATTTCCCTAATAGAAGCATAAAATGACCAAAAATCTTTTGGGAGCTCATATTTAATTTAAGATGGGCGGAGAAGATTTATGGTTTTTAATCTTTTCATAATAAAAGCTACATTGTACCTCTCATTTATGAGGTACTCTACTGTTATTAGGTACTCTGCGGTCCGGATGATTTGCTCATATACACAGCTTTTTTCGCCATTCGGTGACAGCAAGTAAATCTATCCAGGTGATGCTGGCCACTTACCTGTACTTCTATCACCAAAGAACTCTCTGGCTATTTATTTATTTAGTGCGATAAGTCAACGGAGCGAGTCTAAGCAGTAATGGCGAGGGCTCTTTAAAAAAATTACATTCATTTCTAAGGAGTGAAGCTTTCCCTCTCCCCTAAGACTTTCAGCTATAATTATCAAAAACTTGAATTATAGATAATAACTCCAAGTACCAAAGAGGAGTAAATCAAGGGTGTTTTAAATTTTCAAAAGCAGTTTCGCGAAGTGCCATTAGCGCATCAAAGGATTTAGTACGAAGAAAAATGATCTGATTTGAAAATCTCTCAAAAAAAAGTTTTTTTATTACATACTTCAATTACTAATTATTGATTAATACAAAAAAATATTAAATATTATATTATATTTCATTATTCATTTTATATTTATTTCATATTTATATTTATTAAATATTATTTTGTAATATTATTAATTTTTTCCATACAAATTTTTGCGTTTTTTTTTTTTTTTTTTAAGAAAGAAACGCAATAAATAAATGTGCAGGAACAGTTCAGTTAAATGATAAAAGATAACAAAAAGGCAAAGCAATAATGAATATAGATAAATGATAAAAGATAACAAAGTAAAAACAAATGATAATAATCATTTCTCAGAGATAGATTTTTAATGAATTCTAATATTCAAATTCAATTCTAATTCAAATTATATAGAATTATTGCAGGATAATATAAACGAACCACTGTTAATAAAATAATTATTTGCCCGTACAACGCCAAAAAAATCGACAATTTCGCTAACATAGTAATGACGATCGTAGAGAAAAGCGTTGGCAGCCAATAAATTTACAACGGATTGATCATAACGGTGACAATTTGCATATTTACTGGAAAATAATATTATTTTCTAAATTTTATAAATAATAAATATATTAATAAAAACTAAACTTTAATATATTTGATAAGAATAACAATGATACTTCTTTTTTCTTTTGGTACTATTTTCGTTCTTCTTCTAAAAAACGATTATCGAGGTTGGTTTAACTGACTATTAGGATTTGATTCGCTCTTCAGAGATTCATTTAAGGATATAAACAAGGATAGATTCAGAGGAGCCAATTAGAGTTCAATTTTAATCGCTTATTTTAATCAAATCATAGTTTCGAATAATAAATATTTACAATATAAAATTTTCAATATATTTAAAATCCATAATTAATATACCCAAAACGATCATTTTCATCGAAATTGCATTGCAATTTAGCATTCGATGGAGCCATACATTGTTCTTCTAATGCGCATGCGACATACCTAAATATTTTAAATATTTATATTTAAAATATTAAATAATAAATATATTTTAAATAGTTAATAAATAATTTAAAATTTTAATATTTTTCTGCAGCTTCTAAATTGTAGAAATCGCTGAACTGTGGAAATTTGAAGGGAGTACAACTTCAATTCGAACAATTAATGAAGCTTCGAATTAAGGAATTTATCACTTCACTTCACTTTCACTTATCACTTATCACTTACTTCAATTTTGATTTATCGCTTTTGCCAGGCATATATTTGCACTTCTTCAATCCATTAGCTCTTGTATTATTCAAATTTAAGAGAGATTACTTAAATTTCATAGAGAATTCAACTATATTCTTTTGCTGTAGTCCATAAATACGACCACTTAAGGATATTTCCAGTCCAAACCAAGATTTATCTTAATAATGCCACCAATCCCATTATTTTCCCTTAACACTTTTTAATACCTCGTCACACCTTCTAAGCAGTTTTTTTCAGGCCATAGTAATAAAGCAGAGCGCGAATTGATAAAGAAGTGAGTAATAAATAATAGGGATTTTCTAGCGTAAATATGGCAATGTGTCCGCGAGATGCTAATGGAATATGACGGATTTTCAAAGAGTATACTCATTATATTCATGTGTTTTTGAGGATAATTAACTGAATGGTAAGGTAATGGCATTCCATTTTTATTTAGACTCAGTTCGCTATTTAGCATAATTAGAAATTTGCACCAAGCAAATTTGCACCAAATTTGGTGTTAAAAGTACAAATGGGTTAAAAGCATCGCGTAACATGGTTTTTGAGGTGCATTTCAAATCACTGAAAATATTTACCATTTTAATATATTTCGAATTGTTTCGGCAGTTTGTATAACATAAACGATACCAGCTTCATACATTTTCGCTTTCGGCTTTTTAATTTCATCGAAATTTGTTGGAATAAATTTGTATGTGCCTAGCAAAAAAATTCATTAATTTATTCTAGTGCTATTCATCATACAAAAAAATTATCTTAAAATTCTAAAAATTAAAAAAGACTTTAAAAAGACTTTGCAGAAAAATTAGAATTTCCAATCCAATTTTTAAAAAGATGAGTTTTTTTTTTTAAGAAATTTTGGTATTATTATTGAACAAATAATTTTGGTATTATTATATAAGTCTAAAGAAGAAAAATTTCTTAATTTAAATAAATTAATTTATTTTAAAAATAAATAAAATAAATTTAAATTTTATTAAACTACTACCTGGATTAGTTGCGGAAAAAATTCCATGACCACTATAGCCATGGAAAAGATAGGTCGATTTTCGACATTCTGCTATATTTCTCATCCATGTTTCAATATTCCAACCATTTTCAAGTGGAGTGAATTGCTCTCTCAAATCTCTATCCGCAATTTCTGGTATTAGCATTTTTGAAGGACCTCTAAAAAAAAAATTTTTTTCTTACTTATTACAATCTTCAAAAGCATATATTTTTTCTCATCGACACTTATATTTGTAAATATTTATTGAAATATTCGAATCATTTTTTTCTTATCATTTCTGGCTAGTCTTGTTCTATTTGCTTTCTAGGCCTAAAAAAAAATAATGAATAGAACAAGTAGCAACTTGATTTTTAAAAGATAAATTTACTCTAAACCAACCATAGGCTCTTCAAAATAAGGTGTTATAATCTTTATAATCTTATCAATGAGCTATATCACTCTTTCCTTATATGTTTTATTGTTTATAAAGTTAATCAAAAAAATAAATAAATAAATGAAACCAATCTTTTGTAACATCGCATAAGTTCATAGACATGATTCAAATCATTTTTCTTAAAAATTACACTACTATCCACATACCAAATAGCTTTATATTCTTGAAGAACCTCCTGAAAATAAAATTAAATCAATCTCAACTGAAAAAAAACCTACAATATTTTTGTTATTTTTATTTTATTCTTAGCAATTTACTACAAATAACTTACAGCAATTATTATAGGCTTCCATCGATAACTATACAGATTTGATACGACTGGAGGATATTTGTTAAAATCGAATTTTCTATAGATAATATTGCATAAGGATTTAAATAATTGAATATTTGACTCGTCTAAACCAAGATCATAAATGATAATCACTTGATGAGGCCAATATTGGCGTATTGATGTTATCTGCAAAAAAGAATAAAATAACGCAATTATAAATAATTTCATAACAGCCAATACTAATTTGGACCATTCGTTTTGGCCTATTTTCCATTAAAAATTCTCACAAAAAGATCATTTCAAAGACGAATGAAATAGTAGCCGTAATTTAATAATTTGGCAATTTTTTTTCTGGATAACACAAATAGACTGACATAAAATTTTCTACAAGTATACATATCGTTCGAATAACTTTATAAAGTTATCAACGATTATTTAACATGAGAATTTAGAAATGATATTGAATAGTTAAAGAAATTCGCCTTACCAATCGTTTCGCTTGTAATGAAAAATCTTCGGAAAAAGCAGTTACTATTACGGGTTCAGGAATATCATCATTTTCCAAGTTCAAAAATAATCCAGATTTGTCGACGTTTTCATCGTCTGAAATTGTTGTTATCAAGCAAAAAAAAAAAGTTATTAAAAAATTATATTCTTCTATTAACCGACACCATTACTTTCTTGATATCATCCATAGATGATTTGCATGATGATTTGCTAATAATTTTGGTTTCAAATTTATATTCAAATGTAGTTTAAGGTGACACCAAAGAAAACCATTGAAAAATCTCTCAATGTTCATGAAAGTTTTTCTAAAAACGCTCACCAGTTCTGATTAGATTCGTTCTATTAGCTTAAAGATCACATCACACAAACTTTACCAAGAAATCATTTGGCTATAGAAGTTATAGAATTAATGAATCGCCAACACCATAGAAATTTTTGAAATTTTTTCATAGATTCATTTCTGCTGAGAGTTCCTCCATGAATGACCACGAAATAAGAAAATGATACTTGAGGGTGGAATGGTACTAAATATTTAGAAACATAAAAAAGACCAGTTTGATAACAATTCTATAAGTTATTAATTGAACCTTTAAATTTTAACAAATTTATCATTTGCTTAAGTGTTAAAAATATGTACTCAAAATCAATATAAATAAAACGGAAGTACTTTCGTCTTACATACAAGATAAAACACATATTTTTATCAATTCATTGCCGGTATGGCCAGGCAAAGGATGAAATTTTAACTCGGATAACGACAGCTAGAATTATATTTTTCCGGTTGATGGAGTCTTTATGGAACCGTCGCGAAATCACCATAAACACGAAAATCCACGTCCAAATAGCTGCAATCTTGCTATATGGCTGCGAAACATGGCCAGCGAAGCCACGCTAACCATTAATGGCTCTAGAAGAAGCAGAAAAAATATACTACAAATCTGATTTATGCTGGTGCGTCGGTAACTTAATAGCAAGATAATTACCATCGAGAACCGAGGCTTAACTTCGAATCCACCGATACACCAATCTTCGTACGCTTGAAGCAAAAAAAAAGTGGAATGATTCAGTAGGTTTTAGCATCACTTTGGAGCACCAATATTGAAATCTTATTCTCGGCAGGGATAAAACTGCCAAAAGATCCGAGTGATAATGGCGATTCACTTATGCTTTGATCGCCAACGGGTTCCATGTCATCTTCGTCTAGTCCGAGAAGCCAGCGGAGCGACTGATTCTCTAATTCAATAATGGTGAGGGCTCCTAAAAAAAAAAAAAAAAAAAAAAAAAAAAAAAAAAAAAAAACCAGATTCACGGTTAAATAGAATTTTAATTATGTTGGTGAAGATGTTTAATTTCGTTTAGTCTGTCTTAAACAAAATGAGCTTAGCTCATCGAAAATGGAATTCTAGCGATGGCATAAATCCACGTGTGCAAAACAAGGATCCTGATAGTCGTTTGGAGTCAGCCAAACCAAAAATGATGATCACTTTCGAAGAGGAAAAATTTTTCATTTGTTGAATAAAAAAAAATTTACGCAATAATCCAAGCAAATGAAGTATTGCAGCATTCGTACAATTCATTCGTTTCCCATAAATCGAATAATTTTCGGGTAAATGATAGCAAAAATCATGAATTTTCCCATTAAACAAGCAAATACATTCATCGGGAATACTGTGTTTTATTGTTAATTGCTAAAACTATAAATTATCATTTATCACTTATCATAAAATATAAAATAGTTTGTAAATTTAAATAGTATAACATAAAGCATATATACCAATGAAAAATAATTTTTAAAATAACTTATAGTTTTTTTTCTTTTTTTTTAATGAAGATTTTCCAAAATCATCAAAAGAATAATATTTTTTTTCTTAATTTCTATCAATAGCCATCATTCATAATTATTTATCAATAATCACTAAAAAAATAAAAATAAAGAATAAATAAAAAAACTATAAAATTAAATTTTTACCTGCAAACTGAGAAATGATATTGAATATCTTATGATTAAAATAATTATTATCAGCCAGAAAATTTTAATAAATGTTGAACATTTACGAATGAAATTTATTAACATACTTAAATATATATTTTTTATAAATTTAAAATTTCTTTTGTTTATAAAATTATAAAATTCAAATTTATAATATTATTATTATCATTATATCATTATATCATTATTATCATTATTATCATTTTTTTTATTTTAATTTTTTTTTTAATATCATTTGCAAGTTCATTAAAAAATTAAAAATTAATTTGAAAAATTCATTATAAATTATAGAAATATATTTTCATAAATCTTTAATAAAATTTATCTACTTTAAAAAAAAATTTTTTTTTTCTTATATCAAATAAGAAAATCTAGCAAAAATTTGCTTGGCCTAATAAGTCGAAATAATGAAACGAGGCCAGAAATTTATTTGGCCAGAAATTCTGAAATTTTTTTTTACAAAAGCGATAAAAAAATTTAGGATAATCATTTAAAGCATCAAAAATCAAAAATTACTTTATTACTTTTGTAAAAATTATCGATGGAACGTATTAGCGAAAATGAATTCTATTCGAGTGTTTAAATATTTTAATATTTTTATTAATAATTCAATTAAATAATTTTAATCGAAATTTATTAAAATAAAAAATTGATAATTTGTAATTTAGAAATATTTTTATATTATATAAATATTTAACATATTTTAAATAATATTTAAGTAAATAATAAATATTCAATAATATTTAAATAAATATTAAATATATATTAAATAATATTTTAAAATTAAAAATAATATTCGATAATAAAATATAAAAATAATTGTTAATAAAACTAATAAATTTAGAAAAAAAAATAAAAATTCGGCAAAAAAAAAATAAAAGAATTTTTCAAAAAAAAAAGCTAAAATTTGTTAAATCGGATCATTCAGCTAACTGCTAAAACAGCAACATTTGTCGATTTAATTTAATCAAAAATTTTCACGATCAATAGGCAATCAATATCGTTAATAGGCAATTTTTAATTATTTTTTTTTAAAATAATTAAAAAATAACCGATAAATTCGCTTTTCTTCATCTAACAACTCGTATAATCAGTGACTCCATTGATTATCAGTGATAAGATATTTTCTAGGAAAATCATCGCGCGAATGTTGATTCAATCCATTTCCGAGAATAATAAAAAAGCTAATTCATTTTTTTCAATCGTCTAAGCACATATATCATTGCTTGGCTTTAAAATTTACTCAATATTTCTTACTCATTATCAGTTCTTATCAGATTTTGATTGGCTCTCATTGATTTTGATAATATTTTTGCGATCAAAGATATAAAGAACTAATTTTGTTTGTTCTCATTTCATTAAACGTCAGTATTAGCCAGAGATTCTTTGAGAAATTCTAATGGTACTTGTATGTATGTGTGATTAATTTATGGGAATCTCAATGCAAAATTTATCTGATCTGATAAGCCAATGAAATAATAATAATTAGCAAAATCAAAAATGGTACTTTCAAAAGAAAAAAATGATTTTCATTTGATATTAATCTCCCCTTTAGCTAAACTCCCCGTTTTCTGATTATTATAGAATTGACCACATTTGCAATCAATATTACTGAATTAAATTGGATTTCATTTGCTAAGTTTATTATCTTCCTTCTTGCATAAAACAATAGATGTTATAATTGATTATAGCAAAAGGGGTATTTAACGGTGTCTTTAGGGTGGAGGATCCTTCGTAAAATATAATAGAATTTGGGAGATATCAAAGAAAGAATTTCAATGTGGTACCAAGTTAAAGTTTTATAGACGCTTCACTCCCGGGTTTTAGAGTGTTCTTAATAGATTATAAGAAAAGTATTATAAAATACGTTACTACAGCGGGAATCCCTGTAAAATCAACAACTCGTCAGGTGATACTATTTGATTTCAACTAAAAATGTGGCGGAATTTGATTGGATATTGAAGGGAATTAAAACGCTAAAGATGATTGAAGTATATAATAAATTCTCGAAAGAAATCACTAAGAAAGTGGACTATAAAGTGGAAATAGGGAGGAGGGGGGAGGGGCGGGAGGGGGGAGGAGAGGAAGGAGAAGGAAGAGAGGAAGAAAGGATGAAGGTTTCAAAAGAAAATGACCAGATTTAAAGGGTATTAGGATAATAGGGTTAATTCGAGAATAATATACAACACGATATTTTACGGGAAAATTTTTTAGCCAAAATTTTGGCTGATTTTGGGAAAATTTTCTCCCAAAGACGGTGTATGAATAGATAGATTTCTAAAAAACGATTTATCTAGTTCCATTTATCGGTAAATACTAATATATATACACTCCTGATTTAAACCTTATGAAATATTCCCTGTACCATTAGACATTTCAATTAAAATTGATAAGATGATAAAATTTACTGATAAATAGCGTAGAACAGCCGAGGAGACGATCGCATGATCCTCTGGAGCCCTATACGATATAATGGATTTCTAGCACACTCAAATCTGCATGGATTTTCGATCAAAGCGTCCATGCTTCAATTTACTATCCAATAGTTTTCACAACCACATAGGTGCCCTTGCTTATTTGCTAGGAAACAGATATCTGTGATTGTCTCAAGGGTACTTCGTCGTAGATCGACCGTTGATTCTTAGGTACAACCTGTTTTTTCCTGTTATCACCGCTTGCAATGGATTTAGTCGACAGCCAAGAATTTTTTTTTTTTTTTTGCAGAGGCATCATTAACGTTTGGATCGCTAATATGTCCCAACAATTAAGCTTGAAATATGCAACAAACATTATATGAACCTTTTCAAGAAATTTTTATACGGATCATGAAAATAGATCAAATTTTTTATGATATGTAGAAAAATTCAATTCTCAACTTGACATACATTATCGTTATCATTATCATTTATAATTATCATTATATTATTAATGATAACATAATTATCATTATATTTAGCTCCTATAAAATTTTAACGTTTTTCCATATTTTTATATGGTTCTTGCAAATGCTTAATCAAATTTTTCATAAAAATTTAACAGGTCTTTATGAGGACTAATCAATCTTCTTCTTCTTGAGCTATCCACACCGCAACAACTATAAATGCGACATTTTTTCTCTGAGCCAC